ACTGCTATCACATTTGGGAGAGGCCCAATTCTCTCAGAGTTCATGCTCCAGCCTCTTGAGCCCCAGCCCCACTCCCACCATTGAGCCTCGGTGAATTCCCAGTTCAAATCCAGCTCTGGTTCCAAGCACTCCAAGTCCAGCCTTACCTTCCACAGAGACTGTAGCTGATAGATCACACCAAAGGAAGATGCAGCCTGTGCCCACCACATGTCCACCTTTCACACCAAAGCCACTGATCATACACAGACTACAAAGGATGCTCCCACACAAGGATACATATTCAAGGCCAGGATAGGTAACTATTTTACCTAATTTCATAAAGACAAACAGAGAAAGTTAAACAAAATAAGATAGTGGAGCACGTTTCAAATGAAAGAATATCATAAAACCCCTGAAAAAACCCTAATGAAACAGAGATAAATAATTTATCTGATACAATTCAAACAAATATTAATAAGAATGCTAACTGAACTTGAGTGAGAATTTCAACAAAGACCAGAAAATATTAAAAAGAACCAATCAGAGCTGAATAATACAATAACTGAAAGGGAAAAACACACTAGAAGGAATTAACAGCAGATTAAGTGATGCAGAAGAGAGCATAATTGACCTTGAAGGTAGAATAGTGGAAATCACCTAACCAGACCAGCAAAAAGAAAAAAAAAAATAATGAGGATTGCTTAAGGGATCTCTGGGACAACATTAAGCATACTAACATGTACATTATAGGGTTCCCAGAAGAAGAAGAGAGAGAGAGATAGGGATAGAAAATGTATTTAGTGAAATTATGACTGAAAATTTCCCTAACCTGAAGAGGAAATAAATATCCAGGTAAAGGATGCACAGAGTCCCAAACAAGAAGGACCCAAGACACACAAAAGACATGTTATAATCAAAATGGCAAAAGTTGAATATAAAAAGAAAATTTTAAAGGCAGCAAGAGGAAAACAAAGAGTCACATAGAGCTGAATCTCCATAAGGTTATAAGCTGATTTTTCTGCAGAAATTTTATAGACCAGAAGGCAGAGTTATGATATATTTAAACTTCTAAAAGAAAAACTGACATTAAAAGAAATGTTAAAAGGTATTCTTTAAGTGAGAAAAGTAAAGCTACAAGAAGTAAGAATTTACAGGAAAGAAAATCACAACATTAAAGGCAAATACATAGTAAAGATCAACCATTTAAATAAGCTAGTATGAAGATTAGGCTAATTCATGTCAATGTATGACAAAAACCACTACAATATTGTAAAGTAATCAGCCTCCAACTAATAAAAATAAAATAAAAATAAATAAATAAATAAATAAATAAGCTAGTATGAAGATTAAAAGCCAAAAATTGTAAAATTGAATATAATTACAAAAAAGCAGTTAAGAGAAAAATATGAAGATGTAAAATATAACATCAAAAGCATAAAATATGGGAGGAAGTAAAAAATATAGATTTTCAGAATGTGTTTGAACTTAAATGATTTTCAGTTTAAAATATGTAGATATAAGTTAACATATATAAACTCTACCTTAACCACAAATTAAAAACCTATAGATTCACAAAAACTAGAAAGAAAGGAACATAAACAAACCACTAAAGAAAATCAACAAACCACAAGAAAATAAACTAAAATTTTACTTATGTTACTTATGTAACAAATAGCATATAAGTAACAAAATAGCAATAAGTATATATATACTTATTATATATATAACTTATTATATTGCATTAATATTATAATATTATTAATAATATTATAATATTATGTGTAATAATATTATATTAAGTGTATATATTATATATATACACTTATTTAAGTGTATATATTATATATATACACTTATTAAAGTGTATAAATGTCAATGGACTAAACACTCCAATCAAAGACATGGTGTGGCCAACTGGACATAAAGGCAAGACCCATCTATTTGCTGCCTATAAGAGACACACTGTAGTGGTAAAGACAAATAGAGACTTAAAGGGGACACAAAATTATATCACATGCAAATGGAGACAAAAAGAAATCTAGGGTAACAATACTAATATTAGACAAAGTAGATTTAAAACAAAGTCTATAACAAAACACAAAGAAGGGCATAATATAATGATAAAAGTGTCACTAAAAAAGAGAACGTAATATTTGCTAACATATATTCACCTAATATAGGAGCACCTAAATATATAAACCAAATATTAAGCAATATAAAGGGAGAAATTGACAATAATACAATAACAGTAACACCCCATTTACATCAATGGACTGATCATACAGACAGAAAATCAATAAGGAAACAGTTGCCTTAAATGACATATTAATCCAGCTGGACTTAGATATATACAGGACTTTCCATCTAAAAATAGCAGAATATTATTTCAACTAATGGGAACATTACCAGGATAGACCACATGCCACAAAACAAGTCTCAACAAATGTAAGAGGATAGAAACTATATCAAGCATTTTTTTTCTGACTACAATGGTATCAAATAGACCACAATAGAAATCAAATACAGGGAAAAAAATGTGGAAAACACAAACATGTAGACACTAAACAACATGCTACTCAAAAACTGATCAGTCAATAGAGAACTCAAAGAGGAAATGAGAAAATACTTTGATAAAAGTAAAAATAAAAACAAATCACTCCAGAATCTATGGAACACACCAAAAGCAGATCTAAGAGTGAAATTTATAGCAATACAGGCCTACCACAAGAAAGAAGAAAAAATCAAATAAACAATGCAACCTACAATAGAAAGTAATTGTAAAAGGAAGAATAAAGCCCAAAGTCAGCAAAAGGAAAGAAAGAATAAAGATCAGAGTGGAAATAAATTAAAGAGAGACTAAAAAGAAAAGATCAATGAAACCAAGAGCTGTTATTTTGAAAAAATAAAATTGATATGCCTTTAATTAGGCTCATTAAGAAAAATAGAGAAAGGACTCAGTTGAACAAAGCTAGAAATGAAAGAGTAGCAATTGCACGCTACATCTCAAAGACACAAAAAATCATAACAGAAACAGTCATATACCAAGTAATTAGACAACTCATAAGAAAAGCATAAATTTCTAGGAACATACAATCTTACAAGACTGAATGAGGAAGAAACTGACAATCTGAATAGACTGATCACTAGTACTGAAGTTGAATTAGTGATCAAAAACTTCCAGAAAAAATTATAAAACCTGACAGCTTCACAGGGGAATTCTGTCTGCTATCATTTTCTCCTCCTTTCTTCCCTAATCCCATAATTTAATCAGTCACCAAATTCTTACATTCCCACAGTCACCACCTTCCTTCTGGATAACAAATCAATGTGTGGCTAGTCCTTTCTTCCTCCAATACTGCCCTGCTCCAATCTATTATTTATACCAAAGCAAGAGCCATATAGCCTTCATCTAAAACAAACAACACCCAAAAAAAGACCATAAAAATTTATCTTTAACTTTACTTAATAAGTGTGTTTATTACAGTGGCATAGGTATAGTGATTCCAACACTATTTTATGTATATTGTATAATTAAGCAAATTAGTAAGTCAATGAGGAATACTTAGACTGGAATTAGTGGTATCAGTATAAACCCATTACACATGCACATACACATATATGTCTACATTATGTCTATATGTGGTGGTTTAGTTGCTAAGTCGTGTCTGACTCTTGCAACACCATGGACTGTAGACTGCCAGGCTCCTCTGTCCATGGGATTCTCCAGGCAAGAATACTAGAGTGGGTTGCCATTTCCCCCTTCAGGGGATCTTCCCAACCCAGGAATCGAACAGGGGTCTCCTGCATTGCAGGCAGGTACTTTACTGACTGAGCTACAAGGGAAGCTCCTATGTGTATATGTATAAATATGCATATATACAGATGTGCGTATATATACGTGTGTGTGTGTATATACATATATATTATTTTCTATTTTCTCAATTCTGTCCACTGAAAGATCTTAGAAACAAGGAAACCCAATAGCAATGAAAATATTTGGCACATAGAAGTTGGATTTTAAATATAATTTCCCACACAGAAAGATCCCATTTCTTCTTGGAAAAAATGATTGACTGTAAGGCTGAATAAGGGCGTGTACAAGTTAAGTATGGAATATGGTTATGCCATAAAGCCAAAAAGTGCTCAAAAATGAAAATATCTCAAAAGTCAGCTTGAAGAGGCTCTCACTAAGCAAATACAGGAAATTATGAGCAATAATTCTAATCAATATAGATAATAACAAATAATAATATTAACAGATTACAATTCATTGAATAAAACAAGAATCCATTTGTTCATGCTGATAGTTGCCTAATTAAGTAAAGAGAAGGAAAGACTTTTCTTATAATACTGTCATATAATAAATGTAGATGATTGGCAAAAATTGAATATGGACTACAGATTAGAAAATAGTATTATGTCAGGTTATATTTTTGAATTTATAATTTCATTATAATTTTATAAAATAACTTTTATGTTCTAAGAAAATACACACTAAAGTAATTATGGATAAAGGGTTATAATATCTGCACCTAATTTTCAAATGATTCAGGAAAAATTTTAAATGTATATACACTTGCATACTTGCCCTTTCAATATGGCCCACAAAGTATTGTAATATGTTTACTTCCTTATGAGATCCCATCTAGCCATCAGATTTCTCCTCTTCGGAATATCAGGCTGATATGTGCTCAGGAATTTTAGAACAAAGACATGTTTCCCAGCTGTTCCTGAGATACATCTGCCATCCAGGCAGGGATTGCTATTTTATTACCAGAAATGATTGTGGCCAAATGTTGTGGTTTAAGACCCTATATGCATTTACTTAAGTGAAATTCAGAACCTTCCAAAACCAGACCAGAGAGACTAACCATTGAAATGAAGGATTAGGACACTTTTCCAGTGCTTAGAGGGAAGAAACTCAACTTGATACTAACCTCATTGATCAATACACTATTAAAGGTACCTTTAGACTCTTTTTAGAAGACAATACCCAAGAAGATCTTAAAACAATAACTAACCTCCAAGCCCAGGTCGCAGCCGGTTGTCATAGCCATCCAGAAGACGATCCAAGATTCTGGTGAAGATAGTGATATTGTCGGTGCTGTCATCAGGAATATCTGGAGCATGCTTTGGAGAGAGTCTGAGGCAGTGGAAGAAAATGAGACACCAAACAATAGTTCTTAATAGCAAATACTTACATGTCTAAACACTTTAATTCAAGAAAATATCAATCAGTAGATTTGGCCAGTTAAACAGCTTTGAACCTCTCAAACCAACAAGTACTTTGGCATTAGCTTTAGCAAACATATGGTCCATCCCTAACCCAATGGTAAAGAAAAACCAGTAGAAATCAGACAGGATGTCTGTGGGAATAATACCTGGCATAAGTTCATTTATCAAAATTTGTTTCATGAACAAGAGGGCCCCAAAACAAAGACGGTAGGTCTTGGTTTTACCCATTCTTACTTTGGATCCAGAAGGTTGCCATTAATAGATATATAATAACTATTCCTAGCATCTAGTTAATCAGAACAATAAAAGGCATAGCATAACAGTTGAGAGGAATCTTGAGAGGCAGTCAATGTGTCTTCTTTAGAGAGAAAAATCTACAGAATAGTATGTATGCATGTGTTACTCGCTCAGTCATGTTCAACTTTTTTGTGATCCCATGGACTGTAGCCCCACAGGCTCCTCTGTTCATGGAATTCTCCAGGCAAGAATACTGGAGTGGGTTGCCATTTCCTACTCCAGGGGATCTTCCCAACCAGGGATCAAACCTGGGTCTCCCGCATTGCAGGCATATTCTTTAACATCTGAGCCACTAGAGAAGCACATGGAATAGTAGGAACATCTAAACTGAATAGTTCTCACTCTCCACTGCCAGCTAGCTGGTAAACTGTCAAAAGCCATTTTGAACACCAATTTTCTTAACTCATAAACCTAATTCAATTCATGCAATCATTCAATGCATCTTTAAGGAGCATCAACTATGTGCCTATAGAAAAAAACAGAGCAGGAAAAAAACAAGCAGAAAAAAAAAAAGTAATCTCTCCCTTGCTTACAGGTTTGCTGAGAGAATCAAATGATAAAAAATAGATACACATGGAATGAAAAGGGGAATTAGGTTTAACTAGACTGGAGACAAGAATTTGAATTTATTAGTTGAGTGACCATAAGCAAGTCACATAACACCTCTTGTAACAGCTTTCTCATTCTGAAAATTAAAATAACTTCACAGATATGTTGTATTAATATTAAATAATATATTAAAATTTCCAGATTTAATGTTTAATATCTAAATGTATTCAAAATTTGTTTTGTCTTCTTTAAGATAGTAGTTTATGCACTCAAATACACTGAAGTGAAGTGAAGTCACTCAGTCGTGTCCAACCCTTTGTGACCCCATGGACTCAAATACATTATTCAAATGTAAATAATGACAAAATATAAGCACCTTCATCAGCCAAAGCCATAAGGAAAGCTTTGGCCAAGAGGCACTGGAAACCAGTGAGACTAGAGATGATTGGCTGTTTTAGTGAAAAGAGTACCAGAAATGATACAGACACCTTATTTGGAAGGGGATAAAAGAAGGAAACTATAGTGCAGAGCTAACAAACTGACATCAATATGTTGAGGAGATAAATACAGACACCCTGTCAGGTCTCAGCTCACATTTGGCTTAGTCTCCAATATTCTGAATTCATCTTGCATGGGCTGTGCAGAGAGAGGCTGTGGGAGCTTAATTGATTTTGTGAAAACCTCTTTCTCATTTTCCCTTAACTCTCACTGCGGGGAATCTTGACCCTGGTTAGCCTAATTTGATTCCTGGGAAACAGGTCTAGGAATTGAATGAAAAGCCATTTTTTGGATTACTGGAGGGGGATAAAAAGCAGAATCATCAGGGAGTCATAGACAAGTTATAAAGGGCTTCAGAGATTACCTACTCCATGTGGATCTATATACGGGAATTGTAAAGCCCCTGAACATAATTTGTAATTTCGGTCCAGAATTCTTGAATATAAGGCCCATATACTGTGCTACCTCTTTTACTGAAATAATAAGTTCCTTGACAATGCATTTCTACCCCCCTGCTGACTCTGTTTTGATTTGTTAGCAGCATTAGTCACTAATAACTTTTAAACTTTTAAGTCAAAAATCAATGCTTAATGTCATTCCAAAAATAATTTTCAATAGATTGCTCTATGATTTTGATTACTTGACTTGATTACTAATAAAATTTTCTCCCAATGTGCTCTAAATTATTGCATGGGCAGCTGGAAGCTGGTTTAATTTAGAACTCAAGTTAGAACTCTCTCTTTTTCAACAACTGAACTGCAACAAGCTGAAGCTGCTATAGTTTGTGCCCATTCAAAATAGTTTGGAGGAACAACAAAGCATTATGGTATGTCAGGATTATGGAGGACTTTAGAGATCATGTAAGTATTTCCCTTCACTTTACAGATGGATGGCCTGAGACACCAACAAAAGAAAGGGATTGTTGAAAACCATATGCATATTACATTGATGAGACTGATGCAACAACCATGCTTGCTTTGCCTTCTATCTATCATTACTGGCTGGACAAAATATATTAATAATGCATCATTAAAAAAGAAAATGATGTTACTAATACATCTATAGGTTAGGCAAGTTTAGTCATTTATCAAGTCCTAAAAATGGAAAAGTGGTAAATCCAAAGAACTAGGGTCAGATGAAGAGTTTTAGTTCTGACTCCCACTAACTGATCATGTGAACTATTTCCTTGCATGCAAAATAGGGATAGGTACCCAATTTATAATGCTTTTGGAAGAAATAAGTAAAGAAGATAATAAACATAAAAATACTTTGTAAATGGTAAAATTCAACATATATTGAGGATGATCATTCGTTTTTCCCCAAACTCCTGAAAATGTAATGATGCAGCTCCTAAGTCGCTTCAGTTGTGTCTGACTCTGTGCGACCCCATAGACGGCAGCCCACCAGGCTCCGCTGTCCCTGGGATTCTCCAGGCAAGAACACTGGAGTGGGTTGCCATTTCCTTCTCCAATGCATGAAAGTGAAAAGTGAAAGTGAAGTCGCTCAGTCGTGTCCAACTCTTCACGACCCCATGGACTGCAGCCTATCAGGCTCCTCCGTCCATGGGATTTTCTAGGCAAGAACACTGGAGTGGGTTGCCATTGCCTTCTCTGGACACCCGTGAAAGACATGCACTTTTATGCTATGGGAAAAGTTTAGCTCACTGAGCGATTAAGTTCAGGATAAGTAAATAATATCAGTTCAACCACATTGAGGAAGCACCTTAATGTGCTTATGTCAGGGGGAAGCAGAAGAGTCACAGATGTGGAGTTGCTGATGCAGTTCATCAAACAACCCAAAGACAGGAGAATTTACTTCATTAAAAGGTTGGCTTCTTTTTCTAATACTGTATATCTCCTGGGGGAGAACAGATTTTAAAAACAAAGAAAATTCAAACTTACTATGCAGAAAGTAATATTAAGAAGATATATTCATAATATATAAATAAATATAATATATATTGGATTCTATAATATATAAGGAACTCATACAACTCAATAGCAAAAGGAAAAATAATCCAATTACAAAATGGTCAAAGAAAATGAGTAGGCATTTTTCCAAAGAAGACACAAACAAATGGCCAACAAGAGTGTTGTTCAACATCACTAATCATCAGATAAAAGCAAATCAAAACCACAATGAAATGTCAACTCGCCTTTTAGAATGACTTTTATCAAAAAGACAAGAGATAACAAATGTTGGCAAGGATGTGAAGAAACAGGAAATTTCATGCACTGTTGGTGAGAATGTAAATTGCTACAGCTATTATTGTCCAACTCAGTGGACAATGAGGATTAACTCTCCCAGTTCAGTTCAGTCGCTCAGCCGTGTCCAACTCTTTGCAACCTCATGGACTGTAGCACGCCACATTTCCCTGTCCTTCACCATCTCCCAGAACTTGCTCAAACTCACGTCCATTGAGTCAGTGATGCCATCCAACCATCTCATCCTCTGTCATCCCCTTCTCCTCTTGCCTTCAATCTTTCCCATTTTCCCCATCTATTTTCCATGAAGTGAGGGGACCAGATGCCATGATCTTAGTTTTCTGAATGTTGAGTTTTAAGCCACCTTTTTCACTGTGTGATATCATTTCTATGTAGAACTAAAAAAAACCACTGAACTTGTGCAAATAGACACTAGAATGGTGGTTACCAGAGATTGGGGGGTGGTAAGGAACTGGGGAGATGTAGTTTAAGGATATAAACTTACAAGTAGTAGATAAGTTCTGGGGGTGTGAGATACAACACAGTGACTATAGTCAACAATATTATATTATAAACTTCAAAGTTACTAAGAAACTATGTGACATGATAGAGACATTAGCTAACTCTACTATATCATATTGTAATATATATAAATGTATCAAAATATAACACTTTACACCTTAAACTTACACAATGCTATTAATATGTGTCAATTATATCTCAATTTTTTAAAAAGGTATGTTTTAAAAATTCCTGTTCAGATCATGTGGTTTTCTGTGAATCTGCATTCCATTGCCCATATACTTTTTTTTCCATTTATTTTTATTAGTTGGAGGCTAATTACTTTATAATATTGTAGTGGTTTTTGCCATACATTGACATGAATCAGCCATGGATTTACATGTGTTTCCCATCCCGATCCCTCCCATATACTTTTACAGCTGCAAATTCTAGTACTTTTTCTGACCAGAAATGATAGCCATATCAGATGATTTACCATCTCCCCATACCCCTCATGTTTTTATTTTCCAGGTCCAGTCATTCTGATAAGTGGAAGGGTCAAGCTAAAAATTCATCACTAGGGATGCCAGCTATATACTCGGAACTCAGTAATATACATTCTAATATTTTTACAGAAGCCACTTAAGAAAAAAGAATAAATGTATTTTTGGCTAGAATATGCACAATCCATCTCAGACAGCTGTCCTTTTCTTAAATTGCACCTATAAATTTGTTCTGAAACTAAAGAAGTATTATTTTAAGACACACACATTCACTATGTACTCTGCCTGTTCACACTCTTTGCTGAATTAAAGTAAAATTAAAACAAAGTCCTTCCTACCTTCTTAGTAACTAAAAG